TATATATGTATAATTTAAAATAAAAAAATATATCTATTTTCAATATGCCAAAATAGACCGCACAAAAGAGCTTCTAGCATAGCCACACCGAAACATGGCGTGACCACGCCGCCCAACTCGAGCCCACGCGTATTTAAGCTGCAGCTCGAGCGTGGTCACTCCGCAACATCTTTTCAGTTTTGGAAAAATTTTAATGCAGGATTATGATGAGTCTGAAAAAGTATTCAATAAAATCTTTGTAAAGAGAAGATTTATGGAGGTTTTTGGAGAGAGAATTGCAGAGGAGGCTAATCTATATTTTCTGAGAGCGTTGTGAGAGAAATTGGAGGTTATCCTTGTAAGAGGAAATCAAAGGGCTGTATGTATTTTTCTATAATAAGAATATTTCTTGCAGGTTTTATTTCCATAAAATCTTCTTTTTTTTTCTCTCGGGCCATGAGCGGCTAAATAGCTTTTCAATGCCTCTGTGATTCTTGGGATGATTTTCTTGGTTTGTTTTTTTCTTTTGATTAACCAAGAGAAGTGAATAAAATAGAAATATTTTATTCAAGATCTTGCAAGCAATTATAGGGGATCAAACTTTATTGAAGATGCAATAAACATAAGCATGATTTAATTTTGTGTGGTATGCAGTTTAATTTTTCAAAATTATATTATGATTATGTTGTACAATTTATAAACTTATCACTTATGATGAACTAGTATTGGGCATTTGCGAATTTACATTGGATCATGCTTCAAGCTTGAAGGCCGGCTATTTGGCAGCCTCATTTTCGACAAATAGAAATTCAAAATTTGATAGCAGGCATTTGAAACACTAACAATTAAAAAAAAAATATTTGAAGATTTACAGTGTACCATTTAATTTCTTGGTGTTTACATATCTAACACCTAAGCTTCAATTTTTGCATACACATGTCCCTTTTCCTATTAATCAAAGGGTTTATTTCAATGAAAGGGTGTATTTCGTTTTATTAAGGTTAAGATGGCAATATCTTTTATCTGATGTCCATTATTTGTGTATAAATATAGTAAGTAGGTGTTGAATATGTAAATTTATTAGAATATAGTCCAATAATTTATAATATTATCTCCCTTGACAATATTCTAACGCTACTTAACTTTGACTATGTATGGGAGGGATAGAGCCTAGCTTACTATAAATTTCCCTCAAATTTATCAAAATCTCATTCTCATATCAACTTTCCCTTACTATCTAGTAGTTATTGAGATCCATAATGGAACACTTCAAGCAACTTGCCCTCATCATTGCTATAATGGCTTTTCTCTACATTGATCATGATGCAATGGCCTACAGTATATGAACTATTATAGATATAAAGAAGTTACCATATTTATTTATTTGAACATTTTTTTTAATGTTTTATGTTATAATGATGTCATAAATAGCAGAGCATGAGGAGTTTAGCTATACGGTGGGGGCCTGGAATGGTCCGGATCATTGGGGAGATATCCGTAAGGACTGGGAGACATGTAAAATTGGGCACTCACAATCACCAGTATCAATATATGATGAAAAGACCGAGTTTGTATATCAACCGGAGGATCTTAAATGGATTTATCATCCTGAAAAAGCTGTGATGAAGAATCTTGGTCACAACATCATGGTAAATTAAAAAGAGCTTTCTTATGTTATTTAAAAAAAATTATGAAGATTGTTTTACGTATGAAAAATGTCATTGAGCTAATATTATGAGATTTTAATGACATGACAGATCCAATGCGAAGATGTAGTGGGTGGTGTATGGATCAATAAAACAGAATATCCATTGAAGCAAGTGCACTTTCACACGCCTTCAGAGAACACACTTAATGGAAAAAAGTATGTGTTATAACCAAATATTCAAATTGTATATCTCATAAAAAATAGAGAATGTAGTTGCAAAATGCCTTCTTTAATAGTATAAAAAAGGTAATGACAATAAAGATTTATGCTAGAAGCTAATCATTTTCTTCAACACATATAATACTTATCAAAGCAACTAGTTCATATATTGACCAATTATGAACAATTTTTTAGTTACAACAAATTAAAAACTTTACTATCATATTCTTATTTTATGATGTGGTATATCATCAGTACTCTCTTTTATATTCATACTATCCTAGTACTAAAAGTATTTTTTATTAATATAATGGCCAACTCAGATTTGATTTAGAGGTTCATTTGCTTCACCAACGTACTACTGACCAACCAATGGCTATGGTAAGCCTCTTATATGAAGTTGGTGCTCCAGATCCATTTTTTACCAAGGTATTCAGTTTCTATTCCATTAAGTTTATGCATGTATGCTCCATCTTACTCATGAGTCTGTTTTGTTATTAAGCAATAAGTTGTGTATATCTATAAATATTTATAATTAATTATGCATTAATGTAATTATTTTAATAATTGATTGTTATCATTATTAAAGTAAATCAAAATTATTCTTAATATTAGGTTGAAAAGCATATTCGTGCAATAAGTAAGAAAATTGATGCAACGGCGGACATTGGAAACATTGATCCTATGGAGGTAATTAGAAAGTTCGGAAAACACTACTATAGATTGAAGGGATCTATCACTATTCCACCTTGCACTGAAGGTGTCACATGGACTATCAATAAAAAGGTTATTAATATTTTCTCATTTATAAATTAGATTTCAACCTGCAGTCTAATTACTAAAAATTATTGTGATTTTGTTAACTTATAAACAATACAATTTATTTGTACAGATCAGAACTATATCTCTAGAGCAGCTAAATTTGTTAAAGGGTGCTGCTATACATGTAAGTTTTCTCAAAATGCCAAAAAAATATAAAGTAAGTTATTTTTCTATAATATTGCTTGTAATCTATTAACATGCACAATTTCTCATTATGTAGGGTTATGCAAAGAATGCAAGGCCTGTGCAACCGCTTAATGATAGGGTGGTTCAACTATTTGTTTGAATGTTTACATTTCAACTTAATGGGAAATTTATGTAATTGTTTAATTGAATAAGAGAAAAATGATGAATGTAGCCAACCTCTCATAGTGGGCCAAAGGCTTATAGTTGTTGTTATTGTAGTTATTGTTGTATTTGTTGTTGTAGTTTTTGTTATGGTTGTTTTTGTTTAATTAGATAAGAGTTATGGTTTATTGATAAATTTCCCGCCAATGTCTTTTTATTATTTAGCATAAGATGTTCTAATCACTCTTTCAGTTAAAATTTTGTTCTGATAATTTTGGGTTGTGGAATACAAATTCATTATATAATAACAAAGAAATCAATTGAGAATAATTAATAATGAGGCTTCAGTAAACTGACATTAGGAAAAACTCTTGTAGATTTTTTTTGGAAGGATAAAATGCTAAATAAATGTCTTTCCAAGTGATAAATCTATTTTAAAATGAAGTATAACTTTTGCTTCATTATTGAAGAAACAAATATAACATCATTATTTATCTAGTTTTTTTTAAGGATGTATAATAATAATAGGTTTAACATGATATATATTTACATATCCATTACAGAGTAAGAGAAAAATTATAGGTCAAAATGAGATTGTTGTATGTTGCAATTGAAAAGCATTTGACCAACACTTTATAGCATAACATTTCTTTGATTGTTAAATCAAATGAACCCTTATTATCAAATGAACCCTTATAAAAAATAAATTTACAATCAAACTAAGTTAGTTGCCAAAATGATTTCAATTACATCTTAAATACTAAAATCCAATCATTAAATGGTCTCAAATCAACCCATGTTAGATCAGTATGTAAAGATGGAGATGGCCCAAATTTTTTATAGTTTCAGCTAACTGGGGGTGACCATTTTAGACTAGTATGTAATGAAGGAAAATTAGTCATTGCTCCTATTATAGTCTCAGGTGACTGGGAGAGACCATTTGAGTTGATGTGTGTAGCTAGTGACTATGTTATCCAGACAATTTTAGGGAAAAGCACGATAAAAATTTTTAAGCTATATATTATGCCAGTAAATCCTTTAATGAAGCTAAAATCAATTGCACTGCAACTGAGAAGGCATTATTTACTATAGTATATTCTTTTGATAAATTTAGATCTCATTTAATTGGTTAATTGAAACAAAATGTATTGCTCATACAGATCATTATGGTAATAGATATCTTATGTTGAAGAAGGGTGCTGAACCAAGATTGATTAGATGGGTCATCTTAATGTCAGAGTTTGATAACAAAGTGGCAGATAGGAAAAGATCCGATAATCAAACTGATGACCATTTATCTAAACTAGATGAGAGAAATTCATACACTTATGTAGATGAAATTAATGAGAATTTTCCTGATGAACAACCGTATGTTATTACTGAGTGGTGCATTATGTGGTATAATGACACGGTAAATTTTTTTATTAGTGATTATATGTCATATGGATTAACATACCACCAATGAGAAAAGTTCATTCATGATGCTAGATCTTACCTT